AAAACAATGGGGCCCACCATTTTGTCTTCACATGAGTTCCATGGGACCCACCATTATTTTGTATTTAAAGTTCTTTTATTATGTAAAAGACAAGATCTATATCCTTTCCTATTTTCTTTATAATTTTGTTATTAATAAAATTTATTCTAAATGGATTTAACTAAAAAAAAAAGGATTGGAACTCAATTGGATCAAATTGAATGTTAAATTCATAAAATTTTATGTTAAATTGATAAAATTGGTTGTCTATATGGTGTTAAATTTATGAAACTATAAATTGATAGCTAATTTATTTTTAATTTGATGAAATTTAATTTAATTGAATGAACTAAATGTTAATTTAGTGTTTATTTAGATGAAATTAAATATTAAATTTTAGAATTTCAATGTTAATTTGACAAAATTGACAATCAATTTGGATTTATTTGGATGAAATTGAATTTTAATAAATAAAATTGAAGGTGAATTTAGTATTAATCTAATGAATATGAATTTTAAATTAATAAAATTGAATGTTAATTTGAGATTAATTTGATGAATTAGATGAAAATAAACACTAAATTCATGAATTTTAATGTTTATTTAATAAAATAGGCAATCAATTTGGTGTTAATTTTATGAAATCAAAGCTTAATAAATAAAATTAAAGGTTGGTTTTATATTAAATTTGGTGAAAGTGAATTTTGAATTAACGAAATTTAAAAATTATTCAATTTTAATTTGATAAAATAAAATATTAATTTGAATGTTGTAGCTTTTTAGTATTGCTAGCATTATTTGAAATATATCAAAATTATTATTATTATTTCTATTCAAAATGTTTGTGATCTATCCCAAAAGCTTGAGATCTATTGCAAAGTTGCAGTTGTTTCCCCCCAAAAGTGGTTTTCCTCGTTTAAATTGGGAAACTTAAAGGGAGAACTCAAAATTAAATTTTAATTTCATTGAATGTTAATTTGGTGTTTATTTGAATGAAATTAAATTTTAAATTTTGGAATTTCAATGTTAATTTGATAAAATTGACACTCATTAAATTCATGAATTTTAATGTTTATTTAATAAAATAAATGGTCAATTTGGTGTTAATTTTATGAAATCAAAGTTTAGAAATAAAATTAAAGGTGATTTTTTTATAATTTGGTGAAAGTGAATTTTGCGATCAATCCCAATTATTATTTTTTGGAATATATCGCATTATTATTATTTTTTAGAATATATCGAAAGTATTATTCAAAATATATCGAAATTATTATTTTTTTATCTTCAAAATATTTGCGATCTATTGTAAGATCTTGTGATCTATCACAAGGTTAAAGTAGTTTCTCCCAAAACTTTTTCAAAAATAGTAGGTTTGTGATCGATCACAAATATATATATATATATATATGATAGATCACAAGTTAATATAGTGAGATTTAGCAAAATTGTGAGCAATTTACCACAATTAAGAACAAATTTACCACTTTTTGAGGGGTCAATTTACAACAATTATTAATAAATTTATAAGTTTTGAGGTTAATTTACGATTGTTTGTATAGTGGTTAAATTTTGTCCACTATTGTAGTAATTTTATCCATTAATTTAGTAACTTTTTCATTGATGTTGTAATCTTATCCTCTATTGTTATAAATTTTTCATTGATATTGTAAATTATTGTGATAATTTTGTCCACTGCTGTTGTAAATTATACTAATGTTGTAATTTTGTCAATTATTGTAGTAAATTTTTCACTGATATTGTAATTTTGCTCTCAATATGCAACTACTTGATTGATCAATCAATATCAGTGATCGATCACAAACCCACTTAATATAGTTATGGTATTTCAAATGATGCTTAAAGTTTGCCCACTATTGTAGTAATCTTGCTAATTACTATAATAAATTTTTTTATTGATCTTGTAATTTTATTCATTATTGCTGTAAAATTTTCACTGATATTGTAATTTTTTTACTATTGTTGTAATTTTATCCACTACAACTGTAAATTTTTCATTGATGTTTTAATTTTTGCCACTATTGTGATAATTTTGTCCACTACTATTATAAATTTTTCATTAATGTTGTAATTTGTTCACTATTATTGTAAATTTTTCACTAATGTTTTAATTTTGCCCTCAATGTGCAACTACTTGATCAATCAATTAATGTTAGTGATTCCCACATAATGTAGTTCTTGTACTTCCAATAGCAGTAAAAGTTTGCCTATTATTGTAGTAATTTTGTCAATTACTGTAATAAATTATTCATTGATATTGTAATTTTATTCACTATTGATATTATAATTTTACCCACTATTGTGATAATTTTGCCTGGATAAAATTTTCACTAATTATGTAATTGTGTCCGTTATTATTATAAATTTGCTATTAATATTATAATTTCACCCTTAAATGACTTAATTGTAACTTTGTACCGAAATATCCCATTTAGGTACCGCAGTCAGGTCCAACGAAGAGAGACCAAAGATGAGACAGATATAAGAGAAACTTGACAGTCGTAAAGAAAAAGTTACTTTCTACGGTTTTTAAAATTTAAAGGAGCCCAAAAGTTTTAGTAAATATGTGACTACCCTTAAGTTTAAAATTTTTTCAGTAGGGTCAATCTCCACAGTGTTCTAAACTTTCAAAAAATTTAAATTACTCCCCAAAAATTTCAAAATTATATATACCCATGGCTATAATGTATCCAGTGCATCTCATTATGATTTATTTTAATTCATCGATTAGAAGTGTTCGGAATAATTTACGCGCATTTTAACTAATATTTTCCCTGATTGATCAAAGACAGACTATTTAAATCGTAATTAGTGTATTCATGAAAGATAAATCTTTCACAAATAAATAATCAAAAAGAATTATTGGAATTCACTTCAAAGTTATTAACGAGGTTTTTGACAAATTTTTGGATACCCAAATTTCTTTTAATCTATTTTTAATTTTTCTTTTGAATAGTAGATCATATATCACCTGCTAAAGAGAGGCACAATCGAATATAATACATACTATCCACGTTAATGATAGGTAATCTACCATCAAAGAACCTTTAATGTATAATTGGGACCATCCAAATCCAAACATTCATCAAATTTTACTTTTATTATTGAAACATTTATACGTTTGCTTGGTTTAAAGATACTCAGCACACATTTTCAGTGGATTAAGATTCTCTCTCCTATTCATTTCAAATTTTTTCTCTTTAAATTTTCCTACATTGGTTTAGTGAGAAACTCACTTATATCCAATTAGTCTCGTTTGAATGCATATTGGTGGTGAGTGTTGCACAATTGAGCAAAGTTGTGGTCTTTAAGGGTTAGAGAATCACTGGATGACGCAATCAGAGCTCCTAGGCTCTTAAGGATTGAACAAATGGTTAGGAATCACAATCAGAAGGTTTATAGTGGTTCACCAACTTGAAAGTTCAGCTAATCCACTCTTAAATAATTTTTTTGCTCCTAAGAAAATATTTATTAATAAGGAGAAAGATTACACAGAATATTAGTACATATTAATTGCGTGATCGTTGTTGTGAAGGGTATGCCTCTTATTTATAGCCTTCTATGGTCTTGTTTGATTTTCAGGCGTGTTCCTTGTTATTCTCTTGTAACGAATGCGTCTTTTACGCAGTCACTGTAGGTGATGTTGAGGTAGTTGCGACTTTCTTGCCTAAATGTTGGACCGTTGCGATTTATTCACAGTATTCTAGTGGGAACCAGTTGTCATCTTTGTCGTGCCCATACGATGTCCTTGTTTGTTGGAGGCCCTCGGCCTGAACACTTTTGACTATTCACCATGAGCTGCGTGGTTCGAAACCAGATTATTGAGATGAATGTCTGAGTTCACCCTTAGTCAATTTTTAAGTATCATTACATATAGTTGTAGATCTACCAAATAGAAAAATAGAAAAAATTATATATTAAAGGTGATCGCACTCCCTTCAGAGCTTTAACAAATGTGAATCAAAGAGCTGACGTGAAATTCAACTAACACTTTATTCGAATAAGAAATATGAGTAATATTATTGAAATATAAAAATTTAACTTTATTTATTGACTTCATAAAGTGATAATAATATAATTTAATAGTTTTATTGTGACCGTAACTATTGAACTTTTTAATAAAACTATATTACTTGACACATCATAATGTCGGTAAATTAAATTAATATTTTTAGGTCTCAATTGCATTATTTAAAAATTATATAGAGTTTGAAGGGCATAAATCATATTGCGTTCCTTGTCATGTTTCCACTAATTATTTGAATGTCTTTTTCCGTATTATATAAGAAGAACGTGGTGCACGGGATTCCTTGGGAATAAATAAACCAACTTCTCTGTCATACACCTCAGCAGCCACCATCCTCAACCTAATATGAGTATCACTAATACTTTTGAGACTAAATTTAGAACTTAAATGATATGACAGTTGACTTAAATTTCTTTATTTTATGTTATTTCATTTGAGATCCAATAAATACTCTAAATAATATGTTGTCATATTATTTGGGTTCTAAATTTGGTTCAAAAGTTTTATGAGCATAGGCGAATTGCATTTTACATAGTAAAAATGTATAAATTCTCATTTTAGACTTTTAAGGATCAGATTTTTTATTTTATATTTTTAATATATTAAAAGTGTTATAATGTGTTTATCCCGTTAGTTTTCATTACTCATTCTGTTAACGTTAATAGTGTAATTTTTAACGGAATAAACAACAGAAACTAACATAAGAATAACATTGCAACAATTTAATACATTGAGGGTATAATATAAAAAATTTAACTTTTCAGGGTACAAAATAAAAAATCTTAAATTTTTTGGGGGTGAAAAGTAAGATTCCCCTAATAGTAATACATGCATGCTGCGAACAATCCAGTGGTTAGTTATAGATATTAGATATAAATGCAGAGGCATATTTGTAACTATAGATATAGATGCCGAGCAGTTACTTAACCGGAGAAAAAAAAAATATACAGAGAATTGCAGATTTGCAGCAGCGAAAATGCCAACAGTGAGAAGAGTGAAGCTGGGCTCACAAGGTCTGGAGGTATCAGCTCAAGGACTGGGTTGCATGGGCATGTCCTCCTTCTACGGCCCTCCTAAGCCCGAAGCCGACATGATCACTCTCATCCACAATGCCATCGACAGTGGCATTACCTTCTTCGACACTGCCGATGTCTACGGCCCTCACACCAATGAAGTTCTCCTTGGCAAGGTACTTCTGTTACCATTCTGATTAGTTTTAATACGTTATGTTTGGAGGGAATTATTTTTTCTCAATCTAAAATGCCTCAACTGGATAAATTCATTTATTTCACATAATTCTTCTAGTCATGCCTTTTCTTCTTTATGCATTAGGTAAGGTAAGAGAAGAATCGATATCCATTAGGTAAGGTAAAGGGGGTTTTTTCTTACTTATAGAGGTTAAGAAGCCGATTATCTTACCGTCATGTGTTTACTGTGTCAAGATAAGACGCTCATTCTTTTATCTTATAATCTTTCGTCTTTGCATCTTATCTAAGGTTTAGAGCAATCTATAATGTCTTATGATTCCTTCTATATATGTATTTTTTCATAGAATGTGTCACTCCCAAAGTGATAAAGGGGCAAGTTTTTACAAATCTATTGGCCCATTAAAAGACGCTATCGAGCTTTCTGAAGAAATTCTTGGCGAGATAGAACAGATTGCAACAATAGAAGAAGAACAATGGACCTTATTCTTTGATAAAATTTTCAAGTTCTTTCTAACCTTCGACTCTATAAACTTGGATGGCTTGCTTGCTTGTTTAGCTTGCCCCCTCTTTGCAAGTGTACAATTCAAGCAAGCAAATGGCTAGCAGGGCCGAGGAACCTCAATGAATAGGATGAGAGACGTCCTGCTAGCTCAAATATGGTACTCTATAGTACTATATCTAAAATCACTATCGAAAAAGGGCTCTCTTTTAGGGCTAGGGAGTTCATTTAACTTTAGACAAGTCTAACAAAAGAACTCATCTAGTAACACGGTCATCTGTCCAACCTCTATCAATCCCTCTATCAATCGGTCTTTTCTCTTTCAATCTCTTGAATCAGTTTAAGATTCTGACTCATGTGATAGATAAGTTTCAATACTTTGTGTGCTAAACTTCCCCCCTTCAAGAGCTCCGCTAGTTAACATATGAGAGTAGTCTATCTTATAGAAGAAAGAGTCTATTCCTAATTGATTGAGTATGAAACTGTTATAATTAGCAAGCGCCAATTCATTCATTAAAGAAAGATTTGTGCAATCACTATCTGAAATTTGAATTGAATGAAGGTACAAAATAAATAGGTGCTTGAGCCGAAACTCTCGCGTCAGCTAGATCATCTTATATTGTTGGAAAGGATAAATGCTTCCGAGTTGAAAAGGAAAGGTAGTGAAGCTAAAACAAATATGACAAGCAAATCCTCATAAAACCTTTTTAAAAGCCTTCTTGATTAGTACAAAAGGCTTGTTTGGGGCTTTGATGCGTGATGGCCGCCAAAAGTCTCCCACATGGGCCTTACTCAAAGAGTAAAATTATTTATCACCACCATATATATATAATTTAGGATTGACTTTTTTTCACTCAATTTAATTTCAGAAAATAATTAATCCCGACCATATGTGGTTGAGGATGAGCTATTAAGGATAAGTCTATGATACTGCAAAATAAATTTTTTTGGCGAGGTAGTTACAATCTCTTATGGTGTTTCAAATGAATTCTAAATGTTATGATCAATTTTAAATTTGTAGGATCGATCTCCAACAGCCCAAACAATTGTCACTAATTAATCACAAAAGGGTAAAACTTTAACCACAAAGATGATGAACTTAGGTCTCGTATCTATTTCAAATACAAAAATCAAATATATTTGTAAATAAAGATTCTAACATGAATTTTGATCTGTTGGATAATTTATCTTAATTGAAGTTGAGTGAAAATGTATCAAAACATCTGAAGTACTCGTAATTTACATAATGGATGAAACTATTTGGATATCGATGACTTGACCCCAATTTTTTTTTTTTATTCATAAACAAGGCTTTGAAGGGAGGGAGGAGAGAGAAGATGCAGGTGGCTACTAAATTCGGGATCGGGTGGAAGGAGGGGAAGATGGAAGTGCATGGTGATCCGGCGTATGTACGGGTGGCCTGCGATGCTAGCTTGAAACGGCTTGACATTGATTGCATAGATCTCTATTACGCCCATCGAATTGACACTCGTGTGCCCATAGAAGTCACGGTTTGGCCCCTTCTTCAATTTGAGTTTATCTTCATTTAAATTTGTATTTATTTATTAGCGTTATTTATATAAATTTAAGTTGTTCACTCAAATATTAACATAAATTTGAGTCATTGTTGGAGATGCTCTTCATGTGTAAACAAGAATTTATAAGGGGATAAATTGCACTATGATCCCTGAAAATTTTCATTTGTCACACTTTGATCAATAAAGTTTAAATTGTCAATCTGATTCTTAAAGTTTAGAAAATGAGACAATATAGTCATTGTCACTAACATTGTTTTGAAGAAACGGAATAAAAATATTATATGCCTGTCATGTGGAACTAGTAAGGGTCAGTTTGTTTAGCAAAAAACATACAAGAAAAAGAAAATTTTAAAATTTTACATGCCTTTATTTAGCTTGAAATAGAAAATGATAGAAAAAATAATTTTCTCTCACTTTTAAATTTTCTCACATCTAACTAATTTTTTTTTTGGCAAAAAACACAAGCAAAAGCAAAAAAGTTGTATTCAATACCTTACCTTCCCATTTTACCCTTATTTTTCTTAAAATATTCAGTTAGTTATTAATTTTAAAAAAATGTGTACAAATTAGGTTAATCATATAATTTGATTTAGAGATTAAAGTTCGAGTTGTTTTTTGTTCCTGAATTAGGTTAGGAGTCAATTTTTTTAAAATTTGAATAATAAAAAATATGTTTTTCTTCTTTAGATCGAGTTAAAATATTTAAGGATAATTTAGACAATTAGAAAAAATTTCTTATAACTCTTTTTTTTTTTCAAACAATGGAATGAGATTGTTTTAAAATTTTCTTAGAAGTTTTTCATGCTAATCAAATACATGCATGAAAATATATTTTCTTTCATTTTCTTTTCTTTCACTTCACTTTCTACCTCTTTCACTTTCCATCATTTTTTTCTTGCTAACCAAACGGACCCTAAAGGGTATTCGTTGTAATTTGCTTATTTGCTACAACCCTTGCAATATAGCCTTTGGCATTCACTATTCACTATTTTCTACCATCCAAAACAACTTGGTCAATGGAAAATCAAAATCCTCACTCAAGAATTAAAATGTCATTTTGTTTTTCACTAAATCGATTTAAATTTTTGGTTTTGGCAAAAATCAAAATGAAACGGTGATGGGACATTAGAATTCTTATGTGTTTGAAGATGTTTCGGGATATTTTGACTTAGCTAAATTGAAATATTTCAGAATTAAATTCTAATTTTCGCTCTATTTTTGTTATATTTTTTAAGATGCTTGTGAAACATTTTCAAGTTGTTGTTTCCATTCCCAAGCTAATCGAAACTATGAGAGTTGTTTAATTTTAATCCTTGTCCTCACTAAGTAATGGTAATTATCTAATTCACTATTTACCATTGTAATCTTTAGCTATGAGCCACAAGAGTCATCCATCGATGGCATTGCATTCAAAATTTAGCGTTTTTTGTAGCAATATGCTTTTATGGAGTTCTAAAACCATTTTGCATACCCTCTTTCTCTCTCTCTCCTCCTGCTATATAATTTTTTTCATTCTATTTTTAAATAATGCATCAGTGTTTTCTTGTTTGTATCTCTTTTCAGTTATCAAGTTTCCTATTGAGCTTTCCTAATCCTTCTACTGACATTTTTGCAAGATGAATGAACTTAAGAAGCTGGTTGAAGTGGGTAAAATAAAATATATTGGTCTATCGGAGGCCTCTGCCACAACAATTAGAAGAGCTCATGCTGTTTATCCTATATCAGCCATTCAGCTGGAGTTGTCCTTGTGGACAAGAGATGTGGAGGAAGAAATAATTCCTACCTGCAGGTGATACATGAAATATATATTCTTGGGTAATTCTACAGTACCGAAATTTAATGCTTTTCAAGACCTAAACTACACATTTTAAAGGTAAAGCTTACAAATATTTGAAGTAAATCTATGACCGATCATGAATACTTCTAATCAATTGTAACTTTACTTTTAAAGGTGTAACTTTACTTTTAGAAGTTGTAACTTTTATGATTAATCATGACTTTTTCAATTGTAACTTTTATTTCAAAAACTTATAAATTTCGGTAATGTACCGGCTTCGGTAACATAGTCTTCCTCTACCCTCTTTTATAGGTGAGGCACTCTCTTGTGCTGTCTAGTATGTTTAGAAGTAATAAGCTAAGTTAAATTGAACCTTGACCCCCCTAACTATTACCTATGTCTCACATTGCTCCCTCAACTATCATATTTCTTACACTGCACTTGAAAAATGGTTATAAATTTCACATTGCCCTAGTGATTGATGCAAATCAATTCAAGTAGTTGAGAAGACAATGTGAGAAACTCAAAGAGTAAAAAGAGATCAGAGTCGTATTTGAGGGTCAAATTGTTATTTTTTTCAATAAATTATCCACAAATTTAATTTCATCCATCTTGATTAATTTCTCCAGAGAACTCGGCATTGGCATTGTTGTATACAGTCCTCTAGGACAAGGATTCTTCTCCTCAGGTCCCAAGGTTGTTGAGAACTTGTCTAAGGATGATTTCCGAAAGGTTTGTGAATAACCTACAAGCATTTTGATTTTCAGTTTCAAGAACAAAGTATTTGTTGTAATAGATTTTGTTAAGTCGTCGCTATATAATGCACTAACATAACTTTGCCTTTCGAAGAGTATAAATTTTTCACTTTGTCCTTTCAAGGATATGTCACAAATTTCTTTAGACAGAGCAATTAAAGTGCTTCGCCAAAGTAACCGGCCATTGTATACCTCCAAAACTCTCTAAACACAACGTGAGAGTTTGATTTTAAGTCTCTTGTGTTTGTACCACTAGTTCAACCTGTTATATCTTAGGTTCTTATATCGACCTTTTCACGTGTAAGCGGATATTACATGCACCAAGTATGTTAAAACTTGTTTAGTATCGATATAATTGCACCTCCTAAAAGTATGAAACTTTCTGCGTCCCTCCACAAACTTTCTAAACAGCACTCACTGGTCAATGGTGATTTTCTCTCTTTCTAATTGGTGAATTGCTTTCTGTTTTCATATGAGTATTTAATTCTTCACACTCACTATGTCTAGCATAAGGTCTACACATCCTATAAGTAAACATGGTTAATGTTTAGCAGCTCCTTTATGGCTACAAGTTTCTATGCTAAAATTTGAATTTCATCTCTTAATTTTTAGCTTCTTCCACGGTTCCAACCTGGAAATCTCGAGCATAATGGAAACGTATTTGATCGAATAAACGAAATGGCAGCAAGAAGGTCATGCACACCATCACAGCTAGCTCTGGCATGGATCCATCATCAAGGCAACGACGTATGCCCGATTCCAGGCACGACGAAGATCGAAAACCTCATCAAGAACATTGGAGCTTTATCAGTAAAGCTAACACCTGAAGAAATGGCTGAACTTGAATCCATTGCTTCAGCGGATGCCTTTAAGGGTGACAGATATGGAGGCATGTCGGCTACATGGAAGGATTCTGAGACTCCACTCTTGTCTTCATGGACTGCTAAGTAAGGTAATGCATTTTTCATTGGCTTGTTAATGCATTCTTTGGTTCTTCTAAAACTTTGTATGTCCTTACTTTGGAATGGTTTTGTATTTCTAGAGGATAACTTCAATTTGTTTTTCTGATTTTCTTTATAACCTAGAATCATCTCAACCACATATCGTTTAGACTCGTGGTTACAACACAAATTTCAGATATGTGCAATCACAAGTAAACTATGCGCATATGGTCAACCAAATTGTCTCTTGCCAGACTCAAACACCTAGCCCTAAGGGTTTTTGTTATTCTGATAAATCAGATGATGTAAACAGAGTGTCAAAGTATTTTCAAAATAAAATTTTTTTTGGGAGATTTATTTTTGAAAAATTCTTTGTGACTATTGAGAGAAATTGAAAAAGATGTGAAATAAAAATGACATGAAAGGTTACTAATTCAAACTTAATGACTTTTGGTTAAAGACACCATTACAAATGGTTGTAACTTTTTATAAAATCACCATTGATACCTTTTGAACCAGTATACATCATATCATAAGGCTGCACTTTTTATGAAAAGTCACTAGTAGATTTATAAATAGGTGATGCTTAACAATCCAAAAGATATACCATTGAAAAATCTAGTACTTCCTACTAGAATTGTTCTCTCATTCTTCTTGTCTCTCGATTCTCCTAAATTCACACACACACACACACACACACATATATATATATATTCTTTTTTTATTCAATCTAATATTCTATTTTCTAGAGAGTCAGAATATTAGAAAGTTGGTTATTTAATTTTCTTAAGGTATTTAGTTACCGTCTTTCATATGTAAGTGTAATACACAGACAGGTGAGAAGTTTCATTATATTTTGAAAATAGATTTGTGGAATTTCCGATGTATACCTTTCTAAACAATTGAAGGGGGGGAGGGGGCAAATACTATTTTTAGGAAAGTGTCATAACTTGAAGTAATTTTCAATATTACGGTACAATTTTTACGATTAAATTTTCAGCGGAGTGAGAACCCATACGTTTTATTCAACATAGAGAAGCTGAAACCAAAAGAACTAGACAATTGATATGTAACTGTAATTTCAAACATAATCTAAATATCCTAAATCCATGAACTTCCTGAATCTTCGATCTTTCTGAAAATGCTGCTTTGAGAAACGTTTCTTTTTCTCCCCGGAGTGCAGAACAGAATACTCCTGTAGATTCTCGCGCGTTCAATTTGAACTTTGAATTCTTAGTTCCTTTAATGTAAGGTTAAATTTCACTCACACCCCATATAAATAGGCATAATTTCAACAATATCTCTTTTTTCTTTGAAAAAAATTTCACTACACCTTTTATCAGCGTTTGTTGAGTGTAAAGGGCTATTTTATTGATTTGCCTTTGTGTTTTATACTATTTCACTTATCAAGTTTTCTCATGTCTATGAATAACTCGTATCCGAAGATGCGGTGTAATATAAGTGGGAAGTGATTGAGGGAGAAGAAATTCAAATTGAATGGTTTTGAGAGGGATGTTGGTGGTCATTGAATAAATTTATTTGAGACCGTTATATGAACTTATTGATATCTGCTTTATTTTATAATATATATATATATATATATATATATATATATATATATATATAATAAAGTAGCTTCATAATTCAAATTTCAAAAGATAAACAAAATAACTTTTACTTTTCGCGGTTCAGATCGCTTTAAATTTTACCACAAAGTTAATTTAATGGCTAATATTAACACTCTAAATTTAATAGGAAAAATAGGTCTTTAAAAATGAGTTTAGATTAACTTTTAAAAGTACTTTTATGAATTATTTATCATAAGTATTTTAAAAAAAATAGTATTTGAAAACGCCCAACCACTACCTCTACCACCACCCACCAGCATCACCACCACCGCCACCATCACTGTCGCAGCCACCATCACCACCACCACGGTCATTGCCACCCACCACAACCATCACCATCTCCTACCACCATCACTGTCGCCCACCACTTCTTACCCTCACTACAAACCGATATTTAAATTCATTTATCTCTCTTTTATCTTTGTGATTTGATTTTGAATATGAATAAAAATATGTTTATCATTTACTATTTTTTATTACTTTGTGCCTTCAAGCACATGCAATAACTAATATATATATATATATATATATATATATATATATATATATATAGTTGGTATCAGAGCCATTTGACGGCCTGGTGTATTATCTTTGAAATTTTATTTGAGTCATCTAACTCATTTAAAAATCTTTATTTGTTCCATCTTTTAAATTCATTTGTAAGTAGATTCGCACCCTAGCACCCAAACCTTAATCCAGATCCTCAAGAGTACATAAGCCACACTTATCCCGACCGTAAGTCCCGTGTGAGGCAAAGAGTGGATCGCAGGCGAGAAGTTGAGAGAATTTGGAGCCAGATTAGGGAGTATGTCTAGTGTCGTCAAACTTACATATTAATTTAAAATTTGATAACAATTTAGATTTTAAAAATGAGTAGATTATTCAGATCTAATTCTAGAGCTAGTACATCTAGATCTTCAGATTATTCTATGCCACATAGAGTAAATGAGGAAGAATTAGAAATAGAAGAATTAAAAACAGACTGGAAGAAATGGAATATTCCTCCAGTTAAAGAAAAAATATTTATAGCACAACTTGGGTTCAGAAAACCTTTAGTGAAGAACACCAAGTTAAAACTGTTGAACAAGTTCATCCTCTCAGGAAAGAAGATGAGCTTTGTGAGCTCCTCACTAAGGAGACTCTTAATATTCACAAGGCCAAAGGATATAATTTTATACACATAGGTCTTGTCCAGGTGGCCATTAAGCCACTTATTACCCAAGGCAGGAATGCTGCTGCCTTACTAGCACTAAGAGATGCGAGGTTTCTTGATTGGGAACCAAGTGTCTTGGGAATCATGGAGACAGGACTCCACCGTGGTCCAGTCTACTTTAACTGCTTCCCAGATTTTACCCTTGACCTCCATTGTCCTAACACACATATGGCACTAACTCTTGGTATCCGTCTCACAGGCGATATTACCAGGTTAGTAAAAAATACTAGTTCCATAGTACTTATTTACAGGATTTATTACAAGTGTATTCGTACTAATCTAAATGTACAATGCCTTGATCCGAGTCCTAAGGGAAGTACTATGTTAATACAAGCCAGTTCTGCACAGACCAACATCCAAATCCCAAAGCAGATACTTTGGAAAGATGTGACCCTCCCAGAGTCATGGACCATGCAGAATGAAAATTTTGATAAAGAATCTAGTACCGAGTCAACTACAACTGATTTGGAGACTATCAGACAGCTCCCTGACGGATCAGTTAAAATATCATTTGATACGGCTAGATCCAGTAGATCTAGTAGATTCACTCCCAGGCATGATCAGTTTTCTGAAGGAAGAAAATTTGATTTCTCATCTGTTTCCCATAGAGACAGAGAGATTGCCAAAGAACTTGACCATAGGTTAAAAGGAATCGCTAATTCCTCAGACCCAGTGGCTAGACCAGTGTACACTCCCATAAGTGTCCCATTAAAGTCTAGATATACAGAGTTCAAACAAACAGAGAATGATGACTTTACTCCTTCACCTTCTCTGTCACCCACTGCTAGTGCCTTTGATGGAAATGTAGCATCCAGCAAAATCCATCAATTATACACTATCACTAGGGAAAAAGAATTTTTTATGCCTGATATTTACAAGTTAAAAAAGCAATTCAAAACTCCTGAGAACAGACCTCTTAGGAAAGCTTTTGAATCTTTACCTTGTAAAACCCAGGAAACCATTAAAAAAGAATGGGTAAAATTAATGTATAAATTAGAATCCGAAATTGCTTTTGAAGACTACCTAAAAAACTTCCACAAAGAAGTAAAAGTAGTAACTCAGCAAAATTGGAAAACAGAGTCTGCAGTGGTAACCTCTAGTCATCCACCAGCAGAAACTATTGAATTTATATATGCTACCAAAACTGTCACAGCTACTCCCTTTAAGATTCCAGTTCTAGAATCTGAAAAGAAGATAGTTGAACAGGTCAATTTCACCAACCAAAGCCTAATTACTATAGGTAAACAGTTGGATAAAATTGAAACTAAAATAGATGAAATTAAACCATCTTCAGTAGAAAGACCATTAGTCAATCTACCTGAAGAAAGAAAGAATTTAGGTTTAAAAAACAAAAGCCTAATTCAACAGATTGATGCACTCTTATCTAGGAAAGAATCTACTAGTACTTCTCAGATAACAGTCATCAACCAAACTGAAGAAAGTTCAGAGTCTAATTCAGAATCTGATAGTCCAAAAGACACCACTGATTCTGACTCTGAAATAGAAAACTTAGAAAATCAGTTTAGGGATCACAGTATGACCCAACCTGATTCTAAAATCAATGCACTGGTTAGAGTCCCTACCAGCTCCACAAAGAACTGGTATTCTAAACCCACTCCACCAGATCTTCAGTATGAAGAAAAAAATGTGTTGAACCAGTTTTCTGTTCAGTCTAACAGACTCTATGAATGGAACATAGATGGTCTAAGTGAACAGGAAATTATTAATAAAATTAGTCATTTATCCATGGTGTTAAATAATTATATGACCAATCTAGATATCCCTGAACCTGAGATTGTCAAATTAATTGTTTCAGGATTCACAGGAGTTCTTAGAAATTGGTGGGATAATTATTTAAACCAGGAACAAAGAGACAGTATCATTAATGCTGTTCTTAAAGATGATGAAGGCCTTCCGATCTTTGATGAAAGAATTGGAATAGCTAAACCTGATGGTTGTAATACCCTTATATTCACCATCATCAAACACTTTGTTGGCACTCCTAGTAGCATTACTGCTAGGATTCATGACCAATTGACCAACCTAAAATGTCCCACACTTAGTGACTTTAGGTGGTATAAAGATGTCTTTGTTTCCCGTGTTATGGTTCGACCAGACTGCCAGAAAGCATTCTGGAAAGAAAAATTTGTTAATGGACTACCCAATCTC